TCTCCATGGCGACGCGTCACAATGCAGCCGCGCGCCGCCTGCAGAGCCAAGTCGGGCTGCAGCCTCAGCTGGGCTCCACTGCCTCCTCGGCAGGATGGCCCAGCCTGAGTTCATGGCTTCGTGCCCCTCTTTAAACGACCACAAGCTCCAGCCAAGTAAGATTGTGTACCCTACCTGTCTGCAGACAGGGTCGGGGTCTTTCCTGGGGAAGGGGTAGCATCCAGCCAGGGGACTTCGATCTTTAATGAGGCTGTCTCCCTCTTAGGGATGGGCCCCACTGAGGGACTAGGGACGGCTGGGGAGTCAGGGAGAATGACAGAGGTTCATGACCTTGTCCCTCTCCAGCCCTTCATACTTGTGCTAAACCTCCTCTTTGACCTGCCCGTGCTTCTTTCTAAAACACTCCAGGACATGCCTGCCTAGGAAGGGACCCAGGAAATGTAGGGCTGGGCCCTTTCCAAGGAGAACAGGGCCAAAAGCAAAGAAGGAGCAGAGCGACTGGGACTCCCAGGAGAGAACAAGATCGGCTTGAGCCCCGCCCCCATGGAGGGTCTGGGAAACAGCCAAGAAATAGGGTTCGTGGTTTGGGGGAGCTAGGTGGTTACAGATGGAGCTAAGGTCTTCAGCCGCAGCTTCTGAGTAGGACCATTTCTCTTTCAAAGAGACCCTGTCTGTAAAGATGGGGAGCTCTGCATCCTCGTTTTTGCTCCCAGATGCAGCAGGTTACCAGCTCAGCTTTTCGAGTCTGCGGGGGGAGAGCCGCTCTAGCTGTGACGCTAGTGGCATGATTACTGTGTAGTCAGCTACACCGTGGCCTTTCCCTTGGCAATAATGGCCCGTGGCTGCTGTCTAGCTGGGTAATTGTGGCTGCACGCTGGCTCCAGAGCAGGGAGGAATTGTTCAGCTGCAAATTCCCTAGAATTGTGCTCCCGCGAGAGTGAGTGAAATGTGTACTTTCATTTCAATTCATTCTTTGTAAATGAAGAATAGAAAGAGGAAATACTTAATTAGCACAAAAATATCAAATATACTCAGTTTCCATATAATGTCAAGGTAAGCAGAGAGGAGAGAGAAGTGCTTTCCCAGGATTCCTGAGGGGTCTCCTTTTAATTTCCTCTTCCTTTTCTAGCTACTCCGTCTTGGTTTCTTTCATTGTCTCCTCTCCCTGTCCTTGGCTGGGAAATGCCAGAGTCTTCCAAGACTTTCCTTGCGAATTTGCATCCTCCACGAGGGGCCACATGCTGCCATAAAGCTTTAAGTGCTTCATAAAGGTGCCTGTGACTCTCTACTCTGTCTCTAACTTAGATCTTTCTTCCAATTTCCAGACCAAACTATTCAGCTTTCTGCTAGACTGTTCCATTTGGATGTCACAGAAAGGCCTCTAATTCAACATGTGCAAAATTAAACTCCTTTCCTTCTCAAACCTTCCAGGCTTTGAGAGACCAGTTAGGAGGAGGGTCCCAGCTGCTGAAATCAGAAGGGGAGGCAGCTGCTTTGATATCTCAATGTGATCACCAGATTTCTTTGATTTAGCCATCAAGTTTTCCTTTCCTTGGGCAAGTCTGACTCTTCCCCTCCAGTGTGGGGTCTCTGAGAGCCTCTGTGTGCTATTCCATCTTCCACTCTAGGACATTCACCTTCTAAAAGGTGGGCTTGATGTGGTACTGCTCAACTTTGGTCTAAAAACAGGATAAAATGGTTGACAATGATGGTTAACTGCTGATGAGCAGTCGCTGTAGACTGGACACTCAGGTGCAGTTTAATAGTTTCTCATAGCTGCTAGACAGAACCACAAACTAGTGGCTCAAAATGACAAAAATTCATTCCCTCTTGGCTCTGAAGGCCTGACATCCAAAAACAAGGTGTGCACAGGGCTGCAACCCCTCTGGAGGCTCCAGGGCAGAATCTTTCCTACCTCCTGTTTCTGCTGGCTATCAATATTCTTGACTTGGGATAGATACATCATTGTGGAGGTCACATTGCCTCCCTCTTCTAAGGACATTTATAATTGCATTTCAAATCCATGAGTATGATCCATGATGACTGCTTTATTTTGCAATCCTTAATTGCATGTGCAAAAATCTCTTTTCCAAATAAGGTCAGATTCACAGGTTCTGGGATTTAGGATATACACATATCTTTTGGGGGCCATCATTCAGCATACTACAAGCATGTACACTTGCCAGTGCCTTTATTCCTCAAAATAAGGTAAGGTCAGGATTATTAGATGTCATCAATACCTGCCTTGTTCATCAGAATAAAACAACATAATATATATGGAAATTCTTTGTAAAGTATAATACGTATACATATTTTATGTATTATATTAGTTTTATAATATTTTCAAAGCTTTATAAATTTATTTTCATAAATGTGAACACCTTTGGTGGGTCCTAAGTTGAGCAGAGTAGGCTTAGGCACAGGGGACCCCACTGAATTATCCTTAGTCATTTCCTCTTTATGTCAAATTTGCGTTTGAAATTTGCTGTCTCAGATTCTCATTCTGCCTGTTAAATTAGCCAAGAACATCCTTATCTCCCATGTTTCCCTGTCAAACTTCTACCAGATAAAATCCAAGTTCAGAAAGCTGTCTATGTGGTGAAATCTCTCCTTGACCTGTCCTTGCTGTCCCCTCTTCTCCTTTGAGGAAGAATCACATGCTCCTCATGGTTCCTGTGACACACAATCTTAATCTGATGTTCATAGGATACATAGCTCCTCCACTAGCTGTCAAGTTCCCCAAAGCCAGGACAGGATGTGTGTCCCAGGGCTAAGCACAGGACCTGGTCCATGGGAAGGCACGGGAAATGAGAGAGGAAGGAAACCATCAGCAAGACAGAAGTGAGAAGGGTACAGGGAAGTGTGGTCTCTGCAGAGATCCTTCCTGGTCCTCCTAAAAGCCCAAGGCAGAGGTTCCAATCAAACTAAGGGAGGCTTCTTTAAGAGCAGCTACTCAGGATTTTTTTCTCCCTTCTCCACATTTGCAATTCTTTTCACAAAGATCATTTAAATCCACTATTGGAATAAAATGCTTTCAAGCCTAAAGTGATTCCCACCAAAGCAGGAGTCTCCAAGGATAATGCCAAGGCAAGAGTTCTCCCTCCGGGATGCTTCTGGGTGGACGGGAAGCTTAAACCAGTGTGAAGGCAGCAGGGAAGAGTCACAGATGAGCAGATCCCATTCCCTGCCTGGGGCCAGGGCCTGTTAAATTAAAAACGACCTGGCTGGGAGAGATGGGGAGATGAATACTAAGAAGTTCACAGATGACAGAAACCCTTAATGTTTAGCCAGGGCTCTCTATGCTAGGCAGGAGGCAGATAGCTTTTAAGAATATTGGGAAATTGAAAGATAAAAGGATACTTTAGTGTCATTTTAATAGGATACAGGCTTGGAAACAAATTCAACCAATGGGAATAGCTCCAGTATTCTTGGGATGAGATGATGAGATCCTAGACAGTACCTATTATTAAAAAATTAGAGGCATTCCAACCCAGTTGCTTACAAAATGTAAAAAGCCACAGGTAACTGCCCAGATATTAAAAAAAAATGAGAGAATGAGTAAATTTAAATATATATATAGTAGGCCCCCGCTTATGCACTCCCAGTGCATAGCCCTGGGTAGCGCTGACTCTATACACGAGCATTGTGATACTGCAGCTATATGACTTAACGTGCAGGTAGGACATACAGGGTGGACACGCTACACAAAGGGGTAATTCACATTTCCAGCAGGATGGAGCTGGATGGCATGAGATTTCATCATGGTGCTCAGAATGGTGCACAATTTAAAACTTATGAATTGTTAATTTCTGGAATTCTTCATTTCATCTTTTTGGACCATTGGTGTTGATCACAGGTATCCGAAACCATGAAAGGTGAAACTACAGATAAGGAGGGACAACTGTATTCTCAAGTAATTTGGTGTGATACTTTGTTAAAAATAGGGAGTTGGGGTAGATCAGCTTGGGTGCTGCTAAATTCTCAGCTGGTATCTTTCTGGAGCCATGGACAGTATTTGCTGTGGATGATTCCTCCCTCCTTTGGAAGCACTTTCTTCTTTGGGCTTTCAGGACACCACATGCTCCTGTTTTTTTTTCATGCCAAACTGACTGTATTTTTCTCTGGCTGTTCTTCTCCTTGACCTTCGAGTGCCCGGGCTTCAGCCCTGGACTTCTCTTCCAACTCCACTCTGCCCCTCAATGTTCTTACCCACGCACATAGTTGTCAATAACTTTTACACCACTGAATTTTACAATCATTATTACAAACGGTGAATTAGCATTGCACCAGGTGAATGGGAGTGTTTTTCCCCCAAGACACTGTTAGTTGGGACACTTGGTGTAATATGAGCCCGTTTTTTTTTTTAAACAAAATGGTGAGAACTAAATCACAATTTGTCTCTGTAATTATACGTACACATGAATCCTCATATGTGATTGCATATGAGGATTACGTGTATACAAGTATGGAGAGAAGCAGGCAGGGTTGTTAACACGGCCTAGCCCAGAAAAGGATAATGACGGGTGGGAGAGGAAAAGCAAAGAGGTGGCCGGGGTAAGAGCTGGCATGTCTAATATGGACTCCTGTGTATACAATCATTCCATGTGTGCACAGATATACCTGATGTAATGGAAATGGGTCACTAGAAAGCAATAATGAGCAAAGATAGAATTTCCATGAACTACTTCCTTCCTTCTTTACGGATTTTTATGTTTGGCTTGAATTCTTTAAGACAGCGGGTGCGAATGCTTGGGGAAAACAATAGGCCGTTCTTATTTCCAGATAAACTCAGTTAATTAAGTTGTGCTTCCTTTCTCTCCTATTCCAAGCCACCACTTGGCCTTTATGGCTCTTTAGACTGTAATATAAAATCACTATCCACAAGGTTCCTGTCTTTTGAGAAATTATTTTAATTGTGCAACATTCAAGTGAGATATTCGGGTTGGCCCCACTGAAAACGGCTTTATTGTCCTTTCAGCAGGTGGCACCGACTGGGATTCCTATGCCACCAGGATGAAGACGGATTTCACCCGCAAGACAGGAGCAGTGCCTGCTTTGATCCGGTAGATCCCCCTTCAGTCAGCCGGACAGACACTCGTGGCTTTGTTCACTTGCCTTTTCTGATTCAGAATCCAAAACAAATAGAGTAACTGGAGAAGGCATAAAAAAAATGCAGTGGAGTAGGGCCATTGTGGCCACGGTTCCCTGCAAGCATGCTGAAAGTCCCTCCTCTCAAACAGCAGCCAGACCTCCCACAGGACCACAGAGAAAATGGTCCCATTAGTTCTTGACGATGTTACTGCACATTGTGTTTACCACTGACCCAGCATTTAGGTTCTTTGACGACGGTGCCACCTGAGCACCATGCAAATCAAAGCCACTCCCTGTTATAGAAGCAGGCCTCCACGACTGAATGAAAGGCTGAGTGGATGAATGAATGCTTGTTGTCCCTACTGTCACCAACACTCATCTCTGGAAGCTGAAGGAAGGGCACAGTCCCCCTTTCCTTACCTGCACTCCTCCAGCTACAGCAGTGTCGGCTTGCCACTTCTCCATTCCCACCCAAGCTGAGGGGGGAATTTCTAGCCACCAGCTGCCTCTCTGAGCTCAGCAGGAGGGGAGTGCCAGAATATCCCTGTTAGGTAGGTGTGAAGTCAGCGTAGAGAGCCTTCCTTGCTTGTGTTGACTCTGTGAATTGTTTTCCAAAAGGAGGATCTTTTTCTCCTTGCAAGATCAAGTTAGTGAGAAGTCAGATGGATTATGGGCACGTACAAGGCAAGGCTGACCCTCGGTAGCTCTGCCCCACCCTCACCCTCAGGCGAGTAACAAATCATCCACGGCTCAGTTTTATTGGTGGAACGGGACTGATGATTCCTAAGAGAGTGTTTTGAGGAGGAGGACACAGGTAAAGGACTAACACAAGGGGGTTACTCAGTAATTTTCTTTCATTTCCCCTAGTAAAATATGATGGGCTCTCAAAAGTGCAAAGCTCCCAGACTCCCGATTTCTGAGTTACTGGTTATCCCCCAGGGGCCACAACTAACTCCTTAATTGGGACATTTATCATTTGATTGAAATAAATTTGCCAGGTTCACAGGCGGTAACAGTTTTCTAAAGAAGAAGCATTTGGGTTAAAAGCCAAAAATAAAGATGTACTTGGAGAATCTAAGTCAGTGATTTTCAAATTCACATTGTTTTTAAAGTTCTCATACATTTAAATAGCTGCAGAAAATAAAACTTCCAGTCCATCCTAAATATTGACATTTTAAAATAAAAATTTTAAATGCAACCAATGCACAGTCTAAATGCCCTAGCAAATTAATACTCAGTAGGATTCTTTTAAAAAAAAATACTCAAACAAGCTCTTTTTTGAAAACTCATTTCATTCCTTTTCCTTCTTCCACTCCACTTCCTCAATAGAATTTTCCCCTGCTATAATATATTTTATGCTTGAAAGCAACTTATTGTCCACTCATGGTTCTTTGCAACTGTTTCAATATTTTAGTTGAAGTGAATTTTTAAACATGCTATGTGACTTTAAGTATCATCATCATTATTTTTAGTACCCAACTGCTCAGAGCAATAAATAAATTACAATGTTAATAATAATAATACTAAATACAAAAAGGAATTTTTGAAACTACATCCTCCCCACCAGTATATGTCTATTTATATATATTTTTCTTTCCTTTTTTTTTTTTTTTTTTTTTAGATGAGGTCTCCCTGTGTTGCCTAGGCTGGCCTCAACCTCCTGGACTCAATCCTCGTGTGCCTCAGGCTCCCTAGTAACAGGGAGTCTAGTGTGCACCACTATGCCTGGCTTAGAACTGCATCCTAAAAAGATAAAAGGGCTGTTTTGCTTTCAGTTAGTTCATGCATTCAATTGTGAGTGTTATTATTTTTAGAATGACCTATATGTAGCATCAGTTTTTCTGTTTCTTTTCTTTTTTCCATTTTATAGGTGTTAGACTTGAGAAAGTTTATTCATATATATGAAAAGGAATTTCAGCATAGCAGTGTCATCCAGTGCTCTGAACTTTTTTTTTTTTTTTTTGTAGTAATAGATAGGTTTTGAACCACATGACCAGTCTTTTTTTTTTTAGATTATTTTTTTTATTTGCAATTTTGCAACAAGTTCTTCCTAGCTTGCTTAGGATGACCTTGAATTTGTGATCTTACTGCCTTAGCCTCCTGGGTAACTGGGATTGCAGTTGTGTGCTACTGAACCAGGCTCAGCACTCTGAACTCTTTCTTGGTTTTTGCTGAGTCAGAAATCACAAGGTGATTTTAATGACGGATCCTCCTCCTACTTGGTGGAATACTCCTCTGATTTTATTGAAAGCAAGTAATGAGATGATTTGTCATCCACTTATTGAGTTATTCCCTATTTCAGTTTCTGAGAAATATCCCAGAAGGCATGGCTTGAACAAATGACCATTAAGTTACACCGTTACCCTCTTCCTCGAAGGTAGCTAGCTTGCTTAATATTATATGGATTGGAACACAGAAACATTAATTTCAATAAATGTTTTCCAACACAATATTCTTTGTATAAAAGACTTTTATCATCACTTACTTTAAATATATTCTTATCAAAATCTTGGAGCTGAAGATTTAGCTCATACAGTTTATATCGCCTATAACTAGTTGGTTAAGTCAGTCCTATTTGTCAAACCAATGAGCGAAATTCGGTTCACTCCCTGTCAAAATCTACTTACTCTTTCAGTTCATATAAATGTTAATATATGTTTTGAGGAATGTTATGAAAATAACTGAAAAATAAATCATTGTATATATCTTTTATAGGGAAGGTTATGAAATAGGGGAAGTACCAAATGATTCAAGTCTGATAAATTAATTATATCTAAGTAACAAAAATAATGCATAAAATGTGCAAGTTACCTGTGAAGCAAGGGGTCTGATAAATGTATGCTTTTTTTTTTTTTTTTAAGTTAAATGTGTTCTCACATCTGCAGAACTCTGGTGCTTGACTTTCAGTAATCATTAAATTATAGTCACATGTGAAAGTCAGGAAGAGTTTCATTGATTTCATTAGACATCAGGCATTTCCTATGCATTTAATGAAGGAAAAAGTTATACAGTGTGAAAATTAATTGGTCTGACAAGCCAGCATATGTTTTTACTTACTGTTAAGTATTTTATTTTTAAATATTTTACAGCATAAAAGGAAATAAGGATTGGCTACACTGGAGTAAATATTTCAAAAAATAAGATTTAAATACCTTACTAAGTGATGAATACAAGATCTAGAAAAAAAACCCCACAAGATTTTAATCTACCAGTTTTTACCCAGTAATCTTTAAAAAGTGTGATGTCCCAGAAAAGATTCTAGCTATATTTAAAGCGATCATCATCACCAACTTGTACTGCTTCCCCACTCGACATGCTTTTCTCTCCAGCTAATGACATTTCCCAGGGATTTTTTTTTAAGCTGAAAAAATGCTTATCTTTAAGTACATGAGGGGGAAAAAAAGCCATTTGGAGCATTCTACATGCTCTTAGAGCCTCTCCCTGAAGATGGATGAGTAGTTGGCAATTAGTAGGAGACAGAAAACTGGGCAGGACTTTGAAGCACGCCTACCAAAATCTGTAACACCCTACACAGGTGGCGATACCGGGTTACAGCATGATCCCTCACTCTGCAGAAACTCCTAGATAAGACAAGCCCTGGACAAGGGTGTGGAGCTCCAATGACCAGGAGGCGTCTCTGAAATGGCTCTGGCCAAGCTGCCCCTTGGGCATACCCCTTTGCCTCTCTGGAGGCAATGCACCCTAGAAAGATCCTACTGATAATGTAGGAAAGAGAGCCCTGGGAAAGGGGCGTGGTAAAAAAGGAAAGGACTTGCTTACATAGTCAGCACCCCCGCCCCCCCACCTATCAGGCAGACATAATTTAGGAAAAAAAAATATTGAGAAATTGAGATCTGAAAACTAATTCCTTTGAAGCTATTTCTGCTGTGTCCCTTTTGGAGAATCTCCCTCCAGTTCATATCTGAATGACAGGAAAATCATCAATCATCCAGATGTGCCCAACTTCCCAGATGTTTGTTTCTTTCGAACACATGAATCTGCGTAGACTCTTACAAATTTTTTTTTTTTAAAAAGTCAATGTGAACTATTTTAAACACGCACAAAGGAATAAACACAATCACCATCTATGACAATAAACATACTGGATTTTGTCAAGATCAATTCAAGGCATATCATTTTAATTCTGAACATTTTCTATGTATCAAAATAGAATCCCCAAATCGGATGCTTTAAAAATATAATTTCATTATTTCATCCTCAAAAAAAAAAATCAATCCCTTAGTATCGAAAAGCCAGTCAGCAATCAGATTTATTCCAAAAATTTGTCTCAAAATTTTAAAAAGGTTTGAAGTAGAATCCAAAGTCCACACATTACTTTTGGTTATTATGTCTCCTTTCTCATTTAATCTACCTCTGCACTTTTTTTTTTTCTCCCTGACCATTTTTTTTTTTTCCTGAAGAAACAGAATCATTGTTTGGAATTTTTCTGATTCCATTCCCATCATGTGTTTTAAAATATTTCTCTTCTCTTCCATTTCTTGTAACTCAATATTCTGCAGACTTCATTTGATTCAGATTCCATATTTTGGCAAAAACATTTAACAGGTGGAGGTGAGTATATTCAACCAGAAGCACATCACACCCGGTGAACCCCTCCTTTTGAGTTCTTGGTGACGTGGCTGATCATGGCCTAGATGCATCATTTCACTGAGGACTTGCAAGCCAAAAATGAACATCCTAATTTGCTTCTTTTTGTCTCTGGAATTAATCTTTTCCTTACCAACTCTGTGGTTAGATTGAGGTACTTTTTGTCTATGAGAGTATCTTTAAAAAATATAATAAACTTAGGTCGTTATTCTTAATTTCATTTTAGATCCCTGTACATTTGCTAAAGCCATCCTACGATTGTCACAGAATTGTTTCTTATCAGGGGAACCCTCAAATTAAATTATATCTGGCATCAAATCTTAAGTTAACCCATCTTTAAAAAATATATCATTAATCAAATGGTTTGACATGTGCACTATTGTGAGATTTGGCATTTAATCCCTTACTCTATTTTCTACTTTTTTTGTAGTCAAAAAAGTATCAGAAGATTAGGATATGCATATGCACTTAGTGATCCCATTCTGAATACACGATACAGTGACGAGTACGTTTGGAAATCATATTCTAAGGAAAATACCATAAAAAATGGGTCTTCAAGAGGACTAAGGAGACACAAAAAAGTAAGCCAATCAAGTAAGATAATAGCTCTATATGTGTCAAATTTAATACTGTGTCAACAATCCATGAGAATAAGAGTTTGAATATGTCACAAACACTCTTCACTTTCTTCTGTGATGAGCTATATGGTCCTTCTGGGACGATTTCCTTCCTACCTTCTCATCTTTATTTCTAACCATGTTATCTCTATTTATTTCTCTGTTTTGTTGCAGAACATTTTTATGATCCCAGAAACAAAACAAAACAAAACAACTCATGCCCATTAAAGAGTTACCCACCCCCATAAAAAAATCCCTGTCACTTTCCCCTTAGAAACCACCTATTTGCTTTCTATCTCTATGAATTACCTATTCTGCGTAGTTTACATGTGGAATCATATAACAGGTAACCTTTTGTGCCTGACTTCTTTCACTTAGTATAATATTTTTGAAGTTCACCTCTGATGTGGCAAGTACCAGTGCTTTCTGTGATTGAATACTGTTGTATGAATAGGCCACAATTTATTTGTCCATACCACCCTGTTGGATGTTTGGGTTGATTCCACCGTGTAGCTTTGGTGAATAGTGCTGCTATGAATAGGTATGCACAAGTTTGTTTTGTGCTCTCTCAAACCTCCCTGACTTTTATCACTCTTGCCTTCCTCTAGAAAAGCCTTTTCCTCTCTACTATGGAGCACTGCCCTATATTTCTTCAAGGCTCATTTTAAGAAGAGCCATCTCCCATCCTCTGCCGGAAGAAAAATAACCATTTTTTTTCTGCTGTTTTCTTGGCACTTCTTCCATCATATAAGACAATTCTCAGTCATAATAAAAGGTTTCATTTACCTGACACCTAGGATGAGGCCCTTGCATGCATTAAAGAGATGACAAAGTGATAGAATGGACAGTATTTGATGACTAAAGGGATGTGAAAGATGAAGAAGAGAGAGGGAAGCAGGATGTTCATATTTCTTTCTCGGAGGCTGGGTGTGTGCTGATGCTGTTTTCTGAGCTGGAACAGGGTGGAAGACCAGGTTTGATGGGGAAAGGAATAAGAGGGAATGGGAGTTCTGGTGAAGATCTGTTCGGCAGACAGGCAGCTGCACATAGAGGTCTGGAGCTCCTGCGAGTGGGAAGCTGGAGAGGCAAACTTGGGAATCCTTTAACATACACTCATACCCCATCTAACTTGGTTCCTTATAGCATACTTTCATAACCATCTATATGTGTCTTAAATAATTTTCCTTAAAATCCTAAAATAAATATGAAAGAGTTAATTACAACATTATGCTGTATTTGCATGCGTATACATACAAATAGACATGTGATTTTCATTTATCTAAGTGCTCTCCAAGGCTCTCACCCTGAGAGCTAGCGTGGCTGCCTCCGTGTGTTCTCTCAGCCAATGAGAGCTGGTGTGAGTTGGTGTGGCCGACTGTCCTTTGTGCTCTCAGCCAATGAGAGCTAGTGTTGTAGACGGTCCTTTGTACTTTGAGCCAATGAGTTTTGGCAAGTCAGATTGGTTGACCCTACTGATCTGGTCACTGAGCCTCAACAACTGTTACCAAAGAGAAATAGCAATATAATTTTAATATCATTTCCCATGATCTTGCTGAACACCACTTAGAGAATGGTCCAAGAGATCCACCCTGAATCTGAATCCTAAAGACCTTTTAAATGGCACTGTGGGTATGTAATCAACAAAATCCACACTTGGAACCTCTATGCATCAAATAGCTGCTTCAATAGATGCTGGCATATTTACAATTGGTTTCTTCAGTAGATAAATGATAAGAGAAAGAAGGGGGGATTGAGAGAGAACCTGAAGATTAAAAGGGACTTAAAAGATAATTTGGAACAGTATGAATATATAACTATTCCCAGGAACTCGGGCAAAGAGAAGGGTTTCTTTACAAGGTACAAGAAATAAAGGCAGCCACCCAGCAGAGAGGAAGACACGGAAGTTTCTAGAAGTGAGGGTCGCTGGAGTGCTGGGCTGGAGCACACTACAGGGAACTGGATCTAGCTGCCCAAGTGGGTTGGGTCCTGTGGCAGCACTGCAGGTACTCTCATCAGAGATGCCAGGGCAGGTGTGGCGGATGGGAGTTGGTGTGCAGAGCTTCTCTCCTGAGGGCTTCCATTTTCCTAGGGAGCTAGGGAGTGAGGTCATGAAAGAGGAAGACGGCAGCAGGGAGTGCAGGTTTCAAGTTTTATAATCCTAGAGTTGCTTTGGAGGTAAAGAGGAGACAGTGCCTTTCCTCCCCTGACCCCCACAGTGTTGCTAAGGCCTCTGCCTGTGAGTCAGGGTTTCGCTGTGGGATGTTTCTCTCTAGGACTCCCAAGGGGAAAGCAGCCACTGTCTCTGCTCTTTTGGGAACAGGTAGCCAGAACTAGAATAGTATGGGTTTTCTCCTTTTTTGGTCTTATCTGTGGGAGAATTCTTTTTAGAAGCACAATTTTTTGGTGCTTGCAATCACATTTTTTTTTTCCATCAGTGTGAAAAGTCAAAGAAATGCACAAGCATCTGTGCTACAGCTAGGTAAACCAATGGATCCCATTAACAGGCTCCCTGCACTCAGGCAACCAGAGAGTTCTAACTGGATATAAAGGATTCCAGAGACTATGTCCACACCAATGCTCGTATTCTTGATTCCATTAGGTGAATCTGTATTAATTTTGTTGAAAATTGTATTTGCATTGATAGGGCTACATTGAATGGACACTACCTCCAGAGCAACCAAGTGAGACAAAAAGGGGCTGCGTTCCTTGGAAAATTCCTGCTTCTATGGAAGAAATTAAGAAGGCCATAGCAAATCAGTTTGTTTCCCACACCAAGAGTGATTTTGTGGATCTAGACAAAGGTAAACGTATTTGTTTTCCTCTGGACCCTGATCATGTACTGGTCAATGAGTTGCAGTAGTTAGCAGCATGGTTGTGGTCCCTTCCCTTGAGGAACTCACAATCTAGACATGAAACAGGAAATGTCATGTGCAAAAAGAGTCAAGCATAAACAGGTGCATGTTTTAAGAAATGCAGGTTGCTCTGGGCACAACATAAAACATCATGAAGTGGTGAAGTAGGGGGTGGAAGTGGAGGTCAGGAAAGGCTTCCCTTCTGGACCTGAAGGATGAATTAGCCAGGTAAAGATGAAGGGGTGGGGGGAGAGTGTCACTTTTGTCTTGTGAAGGCATAGAGGAACATTTGAGGAAGTAAAAGGACTTCATGTGTAGAGATGAAGTCAAGGGCAAGTGGGAGGAATGAGAGAAGAAATCAGCACAGGCAGAGAGAATTCAGTTTTGAAAGGGTGATAATAAAGTACCGGAATTTATCCCAGGAACAATCAAAAAGTTCATATTAGAGTGGCGATATAGTTCAGATGTAGACTCTAGCATGAAGGGAATGGTCCTACTGAGAGGAAGGAGGCTACCAAGAGGTTGTCAAAACAGCCCCCGGGGGAGAGTGGTGCCTGAAGCAGGGCTGTGCAGGGGGGATGGAGGTGTGGCACCAGCAAGATGATAAGATGGGCACTTCCGTCCACATCAGCATGGTGGAGGATGGTTTATCTGTTTAAGACAGTGTACCACCAGTGTCCACTCCAGTATCTGATTCATCATAAGCATGAAAAAAAATATTGATAGAACAAATGAATGAACCATAGGGTTGAGTGACTGATGGATGACAGGGATAAGGAAGTCAAAGGAGCCAGCTGTCTGACTGAGGATGGGATGGGATGGTGTGGTACCTTTTGTAGATAGGTATAAAAACAGTAGAGGGTTAATCAAGGCTCATTTCAATTTCTCTGTAGCTCAGGGGTAGAGTCTAGCACTCTTTTCATGCTGCCTCCTAGAAGAACACATGCCTCTTTCTGGAATTGGACTTTTGCTATACAAATCTTCCCCTGCAAGAATCTAGATTCTCCCATGATTCACTTGGCTCTGTCCTTAGGATTCTGTAGCTGGGATAACCTTTGCCTTGGTTTTCTGTAGGGTAAGTGGAGATGATGCCATAACTGCTGCCATTTCTCAAATCAACTTTGTGGAGTCAGACCCATTTTCCAGAAATGACATATATACCCATACAGTGCAATTTTGGTCTTTTATATAGGCAAGAAATTTGATTCATGAGAATTCATGAAAATTGATCATAGGTGTTTTAAAACTCTTCCCTGTAGTGGAGAATGCAGTGCTCTCTGGTCGGCTGCTCCAAGCCTTGTGACAAAATGGCGGTTGGAGCCTGGTGCTCTCCCACCTCTTTGGTAAGAACTCCTGGCCCTGAGGAAGCCTGGCAGCCATGTGGATTTTGAACATAGAGGAGCACGGAGGGCCCCCATCTCCCTGAGACTCTGGAAGTCAAGGGAGGATCACGATGCCTATGTTGTCCTCTGTCTCCACCTTCATTCCTGCCCCCTCCGTCTCAACAGCTCAGTCCACCCTGGAGAACTAGGATGCTCCTCCCCTCTCCCTGAACAGGAGCTACTCTGCTCCAGTTGTCTGGCTTTTCCTCCTAAACCACCTTCCCGTCTCTGTGGCATCCTTGTCCTCCCCACCAGCGTTCACTCGGCTCTAGTGCAGTGTTTAAAATACCAAACAGGAACAAGAGCTTTTCCTGACTCACGTCTCTGTTTGGCAACTGTGCATTTCTCTGATTCTCTTCACAAAAACTGCTAACGTTTACTAACCCCTTAGTTTTCCATAATTTAACACATTAAATCTTCAATAAGCTATGAAGTTATCACCCTCAATCAAAGATGAAAAACCTAAGACTCAGAGGGGTGAAGCAACTTGCCCATGATCACCTAGCTAGTGACAGGTGCAGTCTAGGATACGAACCCTGTGCCAAAACCACATCCCTAGCTGGGCACACTGGTGCATGTCCATTGTCCCACTTACCTGAGAGGCTGAGGTGGCAGGATTGCTTGAGTCCTGGAGCTCGGGGCCAACCTGGGCAATATAGCAAGACCCCATCTAAAACAACAAAGCCAACAAAAACAGAAACATCTACGTCTTTCGGAGTTAAATTATATATGCCATTTCCAATTCTTAACTTGTTGATCACGATTTTTAAAAACTAAAAGTTATTTTTATTAAACAAATACATGCATATATTTAAGTGGTTACTCAGACATATAAAGAAATTACAATGGTTCCTGACCTGCCACTCTCCACCGACACCCTTACCTGCCATGAGTGATCAATTTTAATCCTCTTAACAGTTTCTTCTTATGTGATTCCCCATAATTTTAAATACTGCCGCTATTTTTAAGTCACCAATTTTAGGCATTATTACTGATCCTGCTGTAGGTAGTGGAGGATCTGGTACTATAACTATTTCTCTTACCTCCTCCATTCAGCCTTTAAGTAGAATTATATTCCAAATTTTTGGTTACATTATATCATTACTGCTTACATTATGATTATAATGACAGGACATATTATGATCACATAATATGATATGATTATGTAGCATTTATCACTGAGCCAGTGTGTATTACATGATTATTATTTTTTTATTTTTACCATTTAATATTTGACTTTGTTTCCACATACCTTATTTTCTATGTGCCTTTCACTACTTTTTTTCCCAAATACTTTGTCATACACTTGCCAAGATTTTTTCCAAACAGTATGTTCTATCTGTTCTAGTAGTTCTCCTGGAGATCCTCTGATCCGCCCCCCACCCCTCTCTCTGCCATCATTGTCCTCTAATCTAGGCTAGCTGAGTCTAGATTAGTTAGTCTAACCATTAAAATATATGCCTACATTTATTTAATAAAAATAACTTTTAATTCTTAAAAATAGTGATCAACAAGAATTGAAAATAGCATATGTAATTTGACCCTTAAAGGAATTTAATATGAAAGATATAGATGCTTTTGTTTTTGTTTGCTTAGATTTTTTTTTTTTAACATGGGGTCTTGCTGTATTGCCCAGGCTGGCCCCCTAGCTCCTGGACTCAACTAGTCATTCCATAGGTTTGCCACCCAACTGGGCCCCAGGACCTTCTTTTTCATCATTCTGGAAATTTTCTTTTGTATCTTCCCTGCAATGGATTCCCTGTTTCCTGAGTCCACATCTTTCCCTTTCTTTCCTCCTTTTATTTTGCTGAAGCACGTCTTCCAGTCACTTCCTACGAACAGGTACAAGGGAGAAATGTTTTTGCCAATCTGGGAAAGTCTTTTTTACTTTGCTATCTGTTTGATAGTTTGGCTGGATATAGAATTCTGGGTTGATGATTATTTTCCCTCAGAACACATTCTTCCAAATATGTTCTAGCATCTAGGATACAGAAGACTGATGCTATCTTAATTTCTGATCCTTTTGTATTTTTCTCTTGGAAACTTTTTTAAAAAAAGCTCAGAGCTTCTTTGGCTCAGTTTTTCAGAAGATAAATTTCTAGTTAGGAAGTGTTATGGCTTGGATATGAGGTGTCACCCGAAGGCTCCTGTGTGAACTCAGGAATGTTTGAAGTGAAATGATTGAATCCCGAGAGCTGTAACTCATCAGTTCCTCCTAGATTGAATGGACTGGGTGATATCTGCAGGCAGGTGGGGCATGAGTGGAGGAGGTGGGTCACTGGGGGTGTGCCCTGCAAGGGTGCATCTTCCCTGTGTCCCCTTTCCTCGTCTCTGTTTTCTACCCCACCCTGAACTGTGCAGCTTTCCTCCACTGGGCTCTTCCCCCATGATGCCTTGCCTCCTCTTGGGCTGAGAGCAATGGAGTTGGCCATCTGTGGACTGAGACCTCTGCAACTGTGAGCCACAAATAAACATTTTCTCTTCTAAGTTGTTCTGGTTGGGCATTTTGGTCACAGCGTTGCAAGTTGTCTTAGTCAGCTTTTCACTGCTGTGACTATAGGACCAAATCAGAGCAACTGTGGAGGAGGAAAAGTTTATTTGAGGGCTCACGGTTTCAGAGGTCTGAGACCATAGAAGGTCGGCTCCATTCCCCAGGGATGAGGTGAGGCAGAACATCATGGTGGAAGTGTGTGGCAGAAGGAAGCAGCTCACATGATGATCAGACAGCAGAGAGCGAGAGTCTCTACTGCCAGATACAAATATGCACCCCAAAAGCCACACCCCAATTCCCACCTCCTCCAGCCACACCCTACCACTTTGATTACCATTCAGTTGATTCTTATCAGGGGATTAATTCACTGATCACATTAAGACTCTTGTAACCCAATCATTTCTCCTCTGAACCTTCTTGCATTGTCTCACATGTGAGCTTTTGGGGGACACCTCACATCCAAACCATACCATGTCTTAACTCATTTTCTGCTGCTGTAACAGAGTACCCGAGACTGGGTAAATTATAAACAAAGAAGATTTGGGGCCAGTGGTTCTGAAGGCTGGGAAGTCCAAGATGAGGGGCTGCATCTGGTGAGGGCCTGCATGACGCATCATAACGTGGTGGGAGGCATTGCATGATGAAAGAGCACGTGAAAGCAAGAGAGGAAGTGTGGCTTCCAAATTTATCAAGAGTCCACTCCTGCAGTAACTCACCCAGTCCCCCATAATCGTATTAATCCTTTCTGCCCTTGTGATCTAATCACCTCTTAAAGGTCCACCTCTTAATACTGTCACTGTTGCAATTACATTTCAATATGAGTTCGGAGGGGACTTTCAAACCACCGTAGGAAGGGGCCATCGTCATACGACTGCATGGGTTAAGGTGAAGCAAGGGACCACTCTGCATCCAAGCTTCCAGCCAGGCTTCTGAGTCCAGTCCTGAGCCTCACACCCTGTCTTCCACGGTAGCTGTCATATCCAAGTCTGAGCCTGCTGGAGAGTTCCATACAGTGGGTCAGCTCACTTATCTGTTATTTCCTTCTGCAGTCCCTGGGATTCCGCTTCCTCTGCTTTGCCCATTCAGTTGCTGTATCTTGTTTGCTCTTCAGCATCTGGCCAAGTGTCAACATTTGTCCCGCACAGTCACTCTGATGAAGTTTGGGCATGGAAGGGTCCTAAAGGCAGGAATACAGTGGAGACAATCCACTGGGTTCAATGTGAGATACTGCTAACCCTTTGACTTTTCAACCCCCTCCAGGTTGGGTTTTGTCCCCATCCAGCTATTGAAACTCCTCTTGTCAAGGTGCTTGGTGGCCTTTCATTAGGATCTTCCCATTTGCGTCTTTCCCAGCCCGTGAGCAGCAGTCAGTATTGCTGGCCACTCGCTCACTCTTGGAACATCTCGGGACACCCTTCTCTTTGAACTTCTGTGTTGTCACCTTCTCCCTATTTCCTGTCTCTTACTTTCTGGTCATTTTTCCATTTGGTATCTGCTAGAGATCCTGATTCCTTAAATAGCAGCTATCCTGGACTCCCACACTCGGGTCTCTCCCCCAGACCTCTCAGTTCCATATATTTGGAGAAGTCTAGGAGGGTCCCAACACATGGCCTCCTTTCCCTCAACTGACCTTACGTTACCTGTTAGACCCTCCAGTCCCTCCCCCACAAGGCAGATGGATGATCTTTAAACATCTAGACTGGATCCCGTTATTCTATGGCTTCTTTCCACGGACTTTCTATCACACTTTGAATAAAATCCAAGTTTCGGTTCCTTCTGGGGGTTCCTGTTAGGCCTCTCTTAGTTCCTTACCTTTGTTTCATCCCCCTCATTCCTGGGGATCCACCCCATGGGCTTTTGTAGGTCCTGAAAGATGCCAACTTCCCTCCCGCTTTGGCCAGTGCGTCTTCCCCAGCTCTTCCTGAGGTTTTGCTTTTCCATCCCAGCTTCAGCGCCACCTCCCCCATGAGGCCACCTTTTACTTTATCTGAAGGGACCTTCGTCTCATTTCATCTAGCCGGTTGCGCTTTGAAGTCATTTGTTCCTGATTCTTGTCTTGTGTTGTTCTTGTTTTACTCCTTCATCTCTGATGCAGTAAGTTGCCCACTCGGGGCTTAGGGCAGGGCCTGGTGGATAGAAGAAGCCCGGGACGTATTTGTTGAATGTCAGAGAGAATATATGGGAAATGCCCTTCTTGAGATGATAGATGGGCACGGGGTCAAAAGACCAGTGTACCTGCAGATAAACCAAAGGATCGAGGAAGAACATTAGAAATGCCAGAATTCTTCAAGATGTCTTTGGGTTTTCATCAAAGTTGTCCATTCAGCGAATCACCATTTCCCCCAAGTGCTGGTAAATATTCAGGACCTGTCAAGACTCCCTCCTAAATTTCTCAAATCCATCTGTTTCTCTTGCTGCCCTAATGACCAGTGTCTACCTTGGATGACCTCTGATACAATTCCCTTTTCTAGTTCCTTCCCCCAACCCACTGTGCATACTACAGTCACAGTGAACTTCTGGAGGTGAAAACCAAGGTCACCTAGGCTCTACTTCCCTTTAGGGACTCCCCCATAGTCCTCCAGACGGACAGCAGCTAAATGCCTTAATTTGCATAATGGATACCCTTGCCCCTGTCCAGCCTCCCCCAGCCTCCCTCCACCTGTCCCCACAACCCTCTTGAGACTGCACTGCTGCCCACACTCTCTGCAGCCGCCTCCTGCCTGCACGCGTTGTTGCTTCCTGTGCAGAGTGTCCCCCTTCCTCCTGTCAGCACGTCTGCCCACCACTGGAGTCTACACGCAGGTGTCATTTCTGTCCTGGAAGCTTTCTCTGATCTCCAGTTTTGTCTCAGTGGCTGTCCCAACTGTTTCGTAGCCCCATTCTAACCTCTTTTGGAGGACTTATCACATAGCATTGCATTTATCACATAGTATTGCGGTTATGTTCTGTGTGCTTATTTTCTCTAAGACTTTAAGCTTCTGAGGCACGGGGACTGTGTCTTAGCTTGGTATCCTCATTATTGAATATTGAATTAAGGCAAATGAATGAGAAGTACCAAAAGGTGCTTTTTTGTTTGTTGTTTGGTTGGTTGGTACTGGGGATTGAACCCAGGGATGCTTTACTGTTGAGCTACATCCCCTGTTGTTTTCATTTTAAAAAAAATTTGAATCAGGATCTCACTGAGTTGCTCAGGCTGATCTCAAATTTATAATCCTCCTGCCTCAGCCTCCCAAGTTGCTGGGATTACAGGCACCTGCCGCCATACCCAGCACATTCACATTCACACTTGGAGAACCTGGCTTTGATGAGTTAGAACAGTTGGTAAAGACACTAGAACCATATCCCACTTGGCTTTAGAGTATCGCTGCCAATGGTCCTAATTGTTTTGAATGTTCCTTGTTCTACATTACTTTGGGCTTGAGCCTTTCTGCAGAGCCCTGCCTGATCTAAATGGGCCAGTTTCCTTTTTAGGGAAAATTTACTGGTACAGTATCCCAGTTTTCAAGTGGAAAGAAACCAAAGGGAACTGAGCCTCTGAGGAGCACAGATGACCCCTTGGGTGAGGCCTTCAGCCGGCTTAGCTCTGGATCATGGTTACCCCATCTGTCTCTACTTCAGCACCAGGATGGGGGGGCTTCAGTCATTCATTTGGTCCCTTTGTATGAAGAACCTCCCTTCTTAGTAATGCCTGAAGGAGCTCATTAACAAGAAATTTTTTATAAAGACAACAAATGTATTAGCTGAGAAGCACTAAGCCCAGGCTACGGAGGAAGAGTACACAGTCGACTGGGAGTTACCTTACACATCTATCACAGAGGCAGTTGCCAGAGTGTGGTTCAAAAGACTTTAAGTGCTAATCCATAGCAATTATGTTTCCGGTTGGTTTTTGTCATTCACTCATAAATTTAGTAAATATTTAATGAGGCCTATTAATGTGATAAGTACAGAGAATAAGTGAAGAATAAAACTTAATCTCTGCCTTCAGAGGAACTTAAAGTATGTGTAGGTCCCGAGTTGTGCCTTTTCTAGGTCCTCATCTCCACTGATCCCACTTCTGTGCTGGCCCATCCTGGTCCATGTAAAAAGACCTCCAAGACTCTCCCCAGCTCCCAAGTCACTTCTCCATGTCACCCTCAACTCCTCCTCCTGCCCAGGGCGCCCTGCACTCCGCCAGCCACACACCAGGGGCCCACTGGGTGTTTCGCCCCATGCTGACCCTTTGTCAGGGCCCCTCCCAGCGTCTACCTGCCATTCGTCTTCCTCCTCTTTCACTCTCCTCTGGGCTTCCGTGGCACCCTGTGCCGAGCTCTGACTCAGTGATTCCTAAAAACACGGGAAGTCTGTTCTCAGTGAAGAGCCTGGCACTCCCACTTCGGGATCCGCAGGGATCTGTTCTAGAGACGCTTCCCGGGAGATTCCGACCTCTCCACAGTTCCTCCTGTTGTGGTTGCAAGACTTATCGTGTCCCATATCTGTTGGTCCTGGAGACATCTCTTTAATCACACTGGTTTGGGGTTGTCTGAAGGTAGAACAATGACTTCATTATTAATCACCTTGGCAAGCAGCACACAACACATCTGGGGAATGAAAACATTCGCTATGGAATGGTTGCCCTGGGGGACAGGGAGAGAGACACAGGCATGATGTATTTCAACATAAATTTGTTTTTCTCCTATAAAGCTATTAGTAAATGGCAAAAAACAAGTTAGAGATGCAAGTTACTGGGAACAATACCAGATGTTTTTCCAAAGTATCTCCATGGGCAGTTTCTGAGGTCATTTTGAGGCCACTGAGCACCTGCATCTTTTTTCTCCTGGGTCATCCAAAGTTAGGGGCAGCGTGGTGTAATGAACTTCACCTTTGCTGGTCTAGACAGCTTATTTTAAAAAATCAGTATTTTAAATGTTGTCATGTGCTGGTAGATGCAATAATGTATCCTTTGATACACAGTGTAGACCAGTAGATGCCGTTGTATGAACCCTTTGACATACAGTGTTTATTAGAATTTTATTTGGAAAAGACCTATTGAAAATTAGTTTTCAAGAGAATTGAGTTTGTCAACAAGCATTTCCACTGTTTAGACATTGCTCATGAAACCCATCTTTTTAACATCTTTATCTTTCTGAATAAAGATGGTGTTTTATAATATGCCCCCGAACTAAGGCTTTGCCAGCAAAAATGAAGGGTGAACATAACTAAATGAGTTGGCTTGTGGCTCCTCTGTCATGTTTGTGAAACTCATGTTTAATCAGTGCTTCATTTAATGATGGTATATTTAATGAATGTTTTTAGTAGATTATTATTTCAAACCAATAATGTTATTATCACTAATAACAATGATGTCCCCTAGCCCTATACCAGATAAGCTTTCAAAGGTTCTTTTCCAGGTGATGAGGAGGACACACCACCCCATCTGGGGTTGATAGGTTAAGCAAATAAAAATATAAGCTGCCCAGTTAAATATGAATAATGATATGTAGTAGATAATGAGTAATTACTCATATGAAAAAAGTATTCATTGTTTGTCTGAAATTCAAATTAAACTGGGCATCCTGTGTTTCAAATGGCAACATGAGTCACATCCAAAATCTTTATCCCTTCTCCCTCTCTGCCCCTCACCCCTGCTCCAGAGACTGGCAGGGGGATAATCATTGCCTTCTGTGCTCACAGAGCAGAACAAGGGGTACTCTAGGGGCAGACAGATATATTCATTAGGGACTGCTTATAATTATGTGAGGATACCCTACCTTCTGAGAAAGCAGAAAATAAGTTAAGTATTCATAAAAAGCACACTGACCATTCTTCTAAATACAAGAGGCGTGTGTATGTGTGGGGGGGTGGGGGGGATGAGGGGTCTGTCTGGCAATTGGAAGCTATTACCAGAAGCAAAATGGAAAGAAATGCTACTCAGAAATAGGTTACAAGGAGTATTTTTTAAAAATTTCTTTCCTTTTCCATTCTACCCCAGTTCAGGAGATTAAGAACAGTTCTCCGGTGTGTTTGGACTGGAAAAAGCACCTTCCCCGGCCCCCAGACACTGAATTTCGACGGAATTACCAAATTCCAGCTAAACTTCCCGAGTCGCAGGATTTTAGCTTCCGATATGGATGCTACTCCAACCTGTCAGCTGCTTCTAAAGGTCTAGGTAAGTACACCTGTGGTTTTAAAAATAACTCCAGAGATCCCGTAGATACCACACAAGGGCTTGCTCCCTGGCATACACGGAAGCCGGTACCGTGGCACAGGTTTCTGCACAAAGAGAGAAATTTATTGTAGATCAGTCAACAAGGGGGTGGGAGGAGGCCTACTCAGATCTGTCTCCCTGATGGCCCTTAGCAAAGGAATTGAAGTTTAGCAGGGGTGAGGAGTAAGAGGGCTGCCTGGGTGTAACGCCGAGTCTTTGTGGAGCAGTCTGCACCCTGCACACCAGGCCAGGTGTAACTTGTGGATTCTTTGTGATTGGGCCGTGATCCTGGCGGGCAGTCCAAACCTTGCTGGGTTCAGAGGGCACCCTCCCTCCCTCCAGCGTCTTCAGATTTAGCACTCATCTGTTTGAGTGTTCTTGGGCAATCTCGAAAGTGTTTAAAAGTTCCATGACCAAGTCCTCTCCAAGCTTTTGCTTAAGAAGAAAACTTGGTGTCTTCTGAAGAAGAATTGGGACCAGATGGTCCCTGAGACAGAAGAATTGCAGAGTGGAAGCCTAGCATCCTGGGGCTAAAGGGTGGTCCAGAAGATACCTCGTCTAGAGCCTCAGGGCACTCGTGAATGGCCTGCACCCCATCCTTGCTGAGGGTTGGCATGCCCCTCGCATTCAGGGTAGTGCTCCATGTTCCAAGCCTTGCACTGTTCCCGTAGCTGGAATATTCCCTGCTAAACCTCTAGTCATTGATTCTGCTTCTTTTCATGGGGGTTAACTAGTAGCAGAAATCTATTATTCTATAAAAAGGTCATCGCAGAACTTCTTAGTCGTCTTCTTTTCCAGTTAAAGCATTTCCAGACCCTACAGACACTCATCTCAGGAAGGAGCATCAAAACCCCTCAATAGTTTGGTCCTTTTATGTGGCCAATGGCCCCTTTAATAGGGGAACCTGAGACTGGAAACAGTATTGAAGGTGTTTCCGAGGTTTACCAAAAGCTTGAGAAAGTTGTAGAAATTGGATTTTTGTATCACGTCTTCATTTTAAAAACATGTTAGCTCTATAAGTATCAGAATCCACATTAGAATAACAATATTCATTATCAAATATAAGTGCCTTGGGGTTGCCCACACCTCTTACCTCTCCTAGTCTGAACAGACAGTGAGTGCTGGCTGTAAATATCATCTTTCTTCCAAACTGCTCATCCCAAGACTGATTCCCAGGCCATCGGAAGGAGGTGTCTCAGTGCACCAACCCAAGTGTGCACAGGACATGTCCTGAAAGACAAAGGTGTTTCTAGGAAGATGGTTGTTTATTAACCTGGTGGTGCCCACTGCCATCCCAACACACTGACCTGCATATGAGCTCACGTCAGAACAACTTCTTGTGCCCCGTCCTTCCCGCTTCTAATGGCCACAGTCTGGAAGTCTCAGCAGCTTTGCGCAGCCCCTAGTTACTGGAGGAATCAGACTCACACAGCACCTTAGTTTCCAGCGTCGTGAAGTATGCAGAGTGATGCAGGGTGACCTCCAACTGCGGTCAGGGTTTCCAGGGGCAGGTTCTAACAAGCGGGGCAAGAGTTCTCTGCTTGGGTGACAGCCGCTGCGTCGTCGGTCCTTCCCTTGTGTTTCTGTAGTCCCTTCGGTGCTACACAGCTACATGAGGACCCAAGAATGTACCAAGAAGCAGACCACTTACCAAAGCGACTACGGGAAGGACCGCCTGGACTTCTTAATGATCCTGAACTCCATCACGCCCCGGCAAATCAATAACTACCTTAAGACTGTTTCTGACAAAGGTAAGATGGAGTCTAAAGCTTCCCATTTCATTTACAGATCGTAGCACATTGCTTTATACTAAAATAGCAATTGTCCCCATTTCTAGCCATAAAAAAATTGCTTTAAAAAAAATCCCCAAGTGTTGCGTGAACCTCAACCTATTGAGAACCTTTTCCCTAAGAGAGGCCCCAGTGACTTCATTCCCACTTATTAAAAAGGAGGTAGAGCTTTCCAATCATTCCCAACCCATTTTGCCTGCAGTGGAATTATTCCAGGATGGCTTCTCCTTTTCTTCCAGCTAATTGATTTCTCTAGTGGATGACTGTATTATCTCATGTTTTGTTTATTTTTTCCCCCCACTATTTCCTATTTGGTGGCACATTTTTGTGACAGCTGTTGACAGTATCTGAGAACCTCCATTTTTCACACCTGCCAGAGAGCCATTCCATTTTCAGGATGGCGTCGTTCCTCCTCTTCATAACACTTACCCATCCCCGGGCTGAGCGGGGGTGGGGTGGGGATGGATTTGGGAACATCGCAGGGGTAACTGGTTGTCCAACTGAGTGTGTATAAAATATGAACTTGGGGACTGAAGGAGTGTGAGGAAGCAGAGCTCTTCCCATAGCTCCCTCTGTGAGGGGTCACAGGTCCTGTTTAAATCCATGCCCCAAGGCGGACATACATATATATATTTACATGAACTAGTGTATCAGGCCCATTAGAAAACTTAAGAGTTGAGGAAGTAAAAAAAATATAAACAGAGGTTCTGCTGTTTTCCCCTGCACCCAAGGGTCACCTCCTGCACCCATATTTGTGCTCAAGGGCATGTGGGGTCATCAGCTCTTTCGTGCCCCGTGACCAGGCCTAGGGTCAGGACTTCCCCCAGCTCCTCTGCAGCCTTCCAGCTGCTCTGTCGTCCACCTGCTTCTCTTGGGTTCCCAGTTGTCCCCAGACAGACACACGATTCTTCTGAAGTTTTCACTGAAACCCACCCACCCTTTGTTTCTGGATTTTCCTGCTCCAAACAAGATTGAAAGGGAGGGGTATGTGCATGTGTGCATGCCTGTGTGTGTGTGCGCACACGCGTGTGTCTAGGTTGGGGAGAAAAAAGCAGGTATTTTTCTACCCTTAAAAGTGCTTGAATGGTAGGTTTCAGGGAAACCCGAAAAGCAGATGTTCTGCCTCATACTGAGGCAGAAGTGGATATTTTCAGGTGGGATCCTGACGCCTCTTAACAGATGTCTCTGGGCCAGTTTGTCACATCAGAAGGAAAACAGGAGATTCCTGGAGGGTCTTCTGGTCTCATCCTGAAAGCAGAGAGGAAGCTCAGCGCAAGCCCGAGCTGCTTCCTCACTCTTTGCTCAGCTTCGTGGCAGACATGTAAACCGTCCTCTGTACTTTACAAAGAGCCCATTGCACGCCCAGGAGGCACATCTGTGGGGACCTACAGCAGGACTGTTTCTGCCTTTCCCTCAGCAGATGCTTCCTTCTGCCCAGGGACTGGCCATGGAATCGCAGCCACCGCTTCTGCCCCTGGGGAGTCATGGTGGCTGCTGGGCACCTCGGTCTCCTCTCTGTGTCGTATGCAGCCTGAGCCTTGGTGATGTCCCCTAGGGGTGGAACCTCTGCTCAGCCTGCGTCTTCATCCTTCAAGGTGCCTGGGTTGCCTTCGGACAGCACTGGGGACAGGTACCTGGAAGCTCATGGCCCAGCCTTCAGCTATTTTGCGCTGACGAGGGCGGACGGAGGAGCTGCTTCCTGTGGGTTTCGCATCCCTCTTCACTTTAGAATGGCTCACTCATCCGTGCTGGCTGGGTTAGACACTGACTAGCAAGAAGGAGGCTTCCTTTGCATCGTGCCCCAAACCTCTTGTATTTTCGAATGTCAGGGGTGACATGGATGCCTTTCAGGTGGTGAAGATCTCAGAGATGCCTTTTTTTTTTTTCCTTTTTTTGATGGTCCTGAGTGAGTCAGCAGAGAATAAAACACCTGGCAGATGTGGCGGGCTCAGTTATTATCAGCTCAGTTTGAATCATTTTGCTGGATTACCCTTCATGGGTCGTAGGCCTGACGGAATAGGAGCCCAGAACAGGAATATTTTGAGAGAGAGAGACAAAGGGTGGAAAGACCAGCCTTCACCTTCAGTAAAGGCCTGAGACAGGGTGGAGAATGGTCTGGAGAGAAGGAAAGGTGAGGACGGATAGGGAAGACTCCAGGAAGATGAAAGATCCTGGGGAAGGAGAGAGGAGGAGAAAGCGGTTAAGGGGAACGAATCTTCTATTCCCATTAACTCTGTTGCCATATTTGGTACAAGTTGAGCATCCTTCATCCAAAAATCTGAAATCCAAAGCTTTGTGAGCACAGAGGTGGATGCCACAGGTGGAAAACTCCACACCTGGCTTCATGGGGGGATGGGTTGCACTTAAAACCCAGGTGCACCAAAAATATTGTATAAAATTACCTGTGGGCTCTGTGGATAAGGTGTATACAAAGCACAGGTGAATTTCATCTTTAGACTCGGGTCCCATCCCCAAGATATTTCATTGTATTTATTCAAATACATTCTAAAATTTTTTTAAAAATCAGAATTATGAAACACATCTTGTCTTAAGCATTTTTTGATAAGGGATCCTCCACAGTTCATTTGTGACTTGAAGAGATTGGATTAGATCTGTTTAGTGACCAGTCTGTTTTCCAAATTGTTTTAATCCCTAGGTCTGATTCAGACCACCCTTATTACTTTCTTTGGGTGTCTGTTATCCATTGGTAAATATCGTGTAATCTACCCATTTTTCCCACTTAAAAGATAAAAATCTGGGGCTGGAGGTGTAGCTCAGTTGGTAGAGTACTTGGTGCTTGCCTCATATGCACAAGGCCTTGGGTTCAATCCCCAACACCACCAAAAATTTTTTTTTAAGATAAATTTCTCTGAAGTCTGGTTTTCTATGAAATTTTTAAGCTACTACTCCTTCCCCATCTTTTTTTTTTCCAACACAAACTCCTGTGAATACGGCTGCCAAGAAGGTATCTCTTTGTAGTATTAATTATAACGAGGTGACCAGCAACCCAGCAGGGTAGGTTCTTACCCAGAGGAGGTATGAGCTTCCTGCAAAAATAAAAGGTCTGAAATAATCAGTAAGAAATAAAAACAAAGCCAGAAATTAGATATAAAAAGGGGAGCATCTGATGGGTCTTCCAGTCCTGATGGGAGCTAGGACTGAATAACTGAAAAGGCCCCAATTCTTTGTTTAAGGGGGGAGTACATCAAAGGCAGGGATAAAGTTTCAGCGGGAGGAGTCTTGGTTCCCTGCTTGCTTCTTGGTATGGCGGGGGTCCTGCAGTGAAGAGGTTGAATGGCATTTTGGCAAGCCATACCCATCTCCCCATCTCTGGGAGTCTGTGTGGCTCTAATGGGTCAGTCCCATCTCCATAGCCAAGCTAGAACTTAAATGGTGAGCTAGAACAGGGTACCACATGGGTCGGGCGTCAAGCTAATGGATTCTGACTGGGAGTTCCCTAAACCAGGCTTCCCTGCCTAATGGTTTCAGCATCACTCAGTTTACGCATGGGTCAGGGATGGCTCCCAGTAAGGAAGAATGCACTTATTGGGCTGAGGATGTAGCTCAGTGGTAGAGCACGTGTGAGGCCCTGGCTTTAATCTCCAGTGCTACCCAAAATGCGTTTATTTAATCACTCAACAAACTCTGTTAATTGAAGACCTATAATGTTCATTTGATACAAAGATAATTGATGAGTTAAAAATAAACCCTCTTATTGGGAAGCTCCTTGCCTGGTGTGAGAGACAGACATGCAGTTTTAATGTTGTAGGCTGTAGGCTGTAAGCAAGGGATCTTTGGGTATATGGGAAGCCCATGTGGGGTACTCTTAACCCTGACCGTGCACGGGGGTTATGGAATGAGGAAAAGCTACTCAGAAGAGATGAATCTAGATGCACAATGAGAAGAGGCAAGGCCCTTCCTAGCAAAGGGAACAGCATTGGTAAAATCATGGAGACACAAAACTGCATCTGTACATGATAAACATGGGTAGCCCTTGAGTTACAATTGGCAATCTTTGGGGGTAGTTGTCAACTTAAGTTGACATTATATTTTACACAATCTCATCCTTTTCACTAATGCATGCCATACTTGATTTATCTTGTATGCATATCTTTAGTATTGGAAAGAGGGAATTTTTTCTTTTGCTTATTTTAAAATAAAATCTTTACTATAAAGTTTAAAACTAGAGACAGTGCTTAAACTGAAAAGAATTGATGATAGCAGTTGTGGATGACATGGAGCAATCATGGAGCAATCAGAACTCCCAGACTTTTGGGGAATATCAAACAGTATAATCACTTTGGAAACAGATCAGGCAGTGTTGAACATATGACTCTTTCATGACTCAAAAATTCCTCTTCTGGATATTTACCTTAGAGAAAAGAAAGCGCAGGTCCACAAAAAGACTCATATGAAAATGTTTATAACCCCTTTATTCTCAGTACCCCCCAAACTGGATACGACTCAAATCCTCATCAGCAGGAAAATGGATAGATCAATTATGACATATTAACATAGTGAGAATAAAAAGGAACAAATTACTGATGTATACAACAAAATGTATGAGCCATAAAAACATGCCAAATGAAAGAAGCCAGACACAAAACACCACCTATATGATTTCACTGATGGGAAGGTCTACAACAGGCAAATCTTGTCTTTGATTAAAAGAAATCAGAACAGCAGCAGTCTTGAGGTGTAAGCTATTGACTGGGAAGAAACATGGAGGATCTTCTGGGATGGTGGGATAGTTGAAATTTTCATGTGGGTGTGGCACATAAGTGTGTAAGTATCAGTTGATCCAACTGTATATGGAAGATCAGTGCATTAATTTTTATAGAAAGGGAACCTCAATGGAAAAATACTGGCATCAAAAAAGTATGGGGAAGGGTAGAGGCTGTTCAAAATTAAACATGAGACTGCAAAGACAAATAAATGCAAATATAGTTGGAGAGAACACACATGCATATGTGTGCACGCACGTGCACACACACACACACACACACACACACACACACACACATATCTAGGGATCTAGGGACTCCTGCTGCCTTTTGTGACATTGAGCAGGATGATGTAAACATTGAGCTTCACACGTTGTCACTTGCACTCTTCTTTTTGGCTTTGACTGCACACATGACAATTTCTAGAAGTGAACCAAATTTTACAGCTCCACTCTGTATTGCTGACAAGACATGAAATTAAAATTAGGGAATCACAGATGTTCAGAACCATAAAAGACTCCTCCATTTCATAGATGAGGAAGTGGGAACCAGGGAGCTGAAGGACATTCCCAGGGTTCAACAGTCATCTCTCAAGAATAACAAAACACACCGGCTTTGGTGGATAGAAAAACAGGCTAGCTTCTGTGAAACTTGAGGTGTAAGTCTCAATCGTTTATCACCAATGTTTATTACCGTATAGCCAGGATAAAGGGTAGGGCTGTGAGATGTCTTTGATGGGCCAGGCATCATCTAGGTGCCTCACACACATCCTTAACCCATCCCTACCGGAGGGTAAGGTAAGTACTGTGGGCTGTGTTCCAAGATGAGGGAATGGAGAAGGGGAGAGAGAAGTTAGTGGCTTGTTAACACTGGCCAGCACAGCACCGAGACTTACTTCTGTTCCATTCTAAAATCTTTCTAATACCTTGAATATTAAATTTACTCCTCTTAATGATTATGCATCTGTACTTCTTTAGGTATTAAACATAATTATCCTTTGATTCTTTTGATTTGCCATCAAATTTGTAAATCTAGTACTATTATCAGATATTCGCCTCCCTTCCTAGAATTTTTCTATTTAGCATTTAAATACTTGCATGAAATTTTCATCTGGATTTTCTTCTTTGTGATTTTCAGACAGAGAAATTCTTGATCACTTTCTCCATTCTTACTGTGGCATCAAGAAAGAAATGAAAGAGGGAAATTGCTCAGTGATGAAAACCAGAAAATCAGTGGAAGCGATGGGGCCTACCTAAAAAAATCAAGAAAAAATGGATACGTATTACTCCAAATGCATGTGATGGTTTTGAGCCTGTGGATTTGTTTTGTTTTTTAATAATAAAGTCATTTAAGGCTACAAATTTCCCTCTGCACATAGCTTTTGCTGTATCTGATAGATTTTGATATAATGTCTTTTACCTTTGGATCTTGCTTTTTTGTTTTCAATTTTTATTTCCTCTTTGAACCACGATTTGTGTGGAACAGATTTATTAACTTCCCAATAACTAGAAGATTTTAAAAAATATTCTGATTGTTGATTTCTTTTTTGAATGGAGTAAAATAAATGCATCTGCTTTGGGAAGTTTATCAAAGTTTTCTTCAATGCCATTCATCCAATATATGATTAATTTTTGTGTTAACATGAATATGAGGGAAAATTTTAATTTGTTGTACCTTTCAAATATTTTATATCTTTGCCTTAATTGTATACTTGAACTGTCAAATTTTGAAAGAAAAATATTAATATTAGAAACTTTCCACAATAAATAATTTTGTCAATTTCTCCTTGTATTTCTGGGATTTTTTTTATATGTATGACAGCTACGTTGTTTATTCTATTGAGGTTTATGTCTTACACAGAGCTTCTTCACTGATTAAGTTTTTCCCTGTCTTCTTTAACCTGGTTAATGCTTTTGGGTTTGAATTGCATTTTACTTGATATTAAAATGTTGCCATTCATACTTTTTTTTTTAACCTTTGCATTTGCTTAGTACCTCCTTGAAAACCCCTTTTACTTCCAATCTTTCTTTGTAACTTTGCTTCATTGTATTTATAGCAATACTTTAGGCCTGAGTTTTATATCATAATTAATATGAAAATTATTCTTTTGATAAAGTTAGTACATGGTTTTACATACTGGGTTTTGTGTTGTTCACAATATTTTTGTTCTCTAGTCTTTGTTCTCCTGTTTTATTTATCCTAACTTCCTTTTTCCCCCTCTGGTGTAAATTTTTAAAATATATTATTTTTCTTTATAATTATAGTCTTTAACACATATAGTCGTTACTAAATTTGGATTCTTCCACCAATATATAAAAATTACATAATCCCTATGTTACAGTGCCTTTTACTTCCCCGTTCCTCCCACCCTTGCTTACTGAGAAGAGAACTTTTGTTTTCCCATTTAATTTTGTCCTTCCCACTCCATCATCTGCATGTAAATGCTCACACACGCACACGTGTGCATGTGCACAAACACCCACGCACACACATGCACACGCATACATAGTTTTGCATGCTGAGAGAGTGTGGAATTTTGTTTTGTTAAAGATTTATTTTTCTGCTTAAAACCTATGACATTTTAGCCACATTACTCGTGTTGTCTAGTTATTCGTTACTGTCATGGTTTCCTGCTTCCGCAGTTTTTCTGTGTCATGAGCTCCATATTCTGATTCACTCTCCTTTGGTTAGAATATTTTCTATGTACCTCCACTGATGGGTTACAAGATGGGCAATACTCTTAAACCTTACTTGTCAAACATATTCTTTTTCTCTACATGATGTCTTGGCTAGCTACAGAATGAGCAGGACTTTTTTTTTTTTTATTTTCTCAGAGTTCCCAGTCACTGTGCTAATTTTCTTCTGGTTGAAAATATGATTTGTAAGTTTTATTCTATTACTGCTGTAAGTGGCCTGTTTCCCCCCGCCCCAGAAGTTTATGATTTTCTCTTTCCATCATAGCATTTCAGTGTTCTTTTAAAATTAATTTTAGTTTTTAAATACATGACAGCAGAATGCATTACAATTCTTGTTACACATAAAGAGGACAATTTTCATAGCTCTGGTTGTATATAAAGTATGTTCACGCCAATTCATGTCTTCATACATGTACTTTGGATAATATGTCCATCGTTTTTTGACATTCATCTTTATCTGAGATCTTTCTCTAGCTTTGGGAAATTTCTTTTATCTCACCTGTTTTTATTATTACTTTTCTTCCCTCGGTCTCTTTCCATGTTTCTTTCCTGAACCAACAATCACATCAGAGGCTCTCAGATTTTCTTTTTTTGTTTGTTTGTTTACAGATTTCCATTTTTTAAGTTTTTTTTTGTATGAAATTTCTTCCTTTTGTTCACTCAAAGCATCAGTTTGATTCTCAGCAGCAGCCGTTCATAAATCAGGGTATCGTGTTTTATGGAGCTTGAATTTCAGAAAGTCTTTTTCTCTGTACTTGAATCCCCTTTTAGTTATCATAGTTTGTTGAAATGACTTTATTCTTTGCTTTCTCCATTGACTCTGCCTTAATTGCAGCCATGTTTCTGGTGGTGGGCTCTTGTCTTCTCCATCAACTTATAGAGTACCCAGAAATGGTAGAATGGCTTGTCCTTGCTCTCATGGAAGGTGGGTCTATTGTGGTCTCTTTGGTCAGAGAAAATGAGCCTCAGGGGAAGAATGGCTGGCTTTGGCTTAGTGAGTGAGCTGCAAAGGAGCCGGGCTTAGAGAGAAGAGTTCCCTTACTTGCTGACATGCAGGTAGGAGTTCCATTCTGCTTCCTCCAAGTAGGGGATGAACAGCTCTCTCAGCTGCACAGAGTGGGAGAAGTTTATCTCATGATTTCATCCTCCACCAGGTTTTCCAGGGTCACCAGCCTTGCACAGATCCTCCAGCAGCAAGTGGGTAGCTGTGACCCTGTGCAAGGGGTCATCCCACATCTGCCCACGTGGGGCCTGCCAGGATTTGCAAATCTGAGATCACTGCCTGGGATCCAGCAGACACCCCTCTTGCATGGCTTGGAACTGATGGCTGCAGCACAGCACCAGGGTTGAAGGAAAGTCAAGGCTTCACCCACTCCAAATCTCTGGAAAATTCACAGCTTCAGATATGCCCAGTAC